TAATACAAAAGACCTCAGTGTTAGTTAGAGTGGAGTAATTCTATATAAAGGGCTTATTCTCAAGCCATCTGGCTGATGTGGGATAGAGGAATTCTAACATCTTAAATTTCAGGTAGACAGGCCACGGGCCCACTCCAACAACACCGATACTGTCCTTAATTAGAGACATGCTCAATTCGTCAGGTGTGGGATTTTAATCCAAAAGGCCTCGGTGATAGTTGGAGTGGGGTAATTCTATTTAAAGGGCTTGTTCTTATGCTTTCTAGCCGATGTGTGATAGAGGAATTCTAACAACTACCGATAATTATCTATCTTTTTCTTTTGTGAATAAACGAGTATATTTGAAAAGGAAGAAGAGACTAATCCCAATACAACAAGCCCAATTTCCAAGATTTCATGTATCATCTATGATGTGTACATAAGAGGTGGCTAATCATCTATGATGTGTACATAAGAGGTGGCTAATCATCTATGGCGTGTTTACATATAGGGAAAGGAAAAGGCGGAATAGGAGTCATTCCCCATTCATGATTATTCCTCTGTTTACCAATTCAACCGGAATGCACAGTGTTGCGGGACCTATGTAAAATCAGGAGTTCAATTCCTAATATTGACAGAATTAGATTACTTACACAGAGGTAGTATTTGGATTCCGGGGAGAAGGCTTTATCCGAAATCAAATTTTTCTTCCCAAAGCACCCTTCACCTTCAACGCTCCCTTCTATTTTCTCGTTGTCTTTCGCCATCCTCTCTAACAGCTATGTGCTCCTCCGCCGCCGCCTCTATGCACCCCATGCATTGCTGTGTCGAACTCTTTCAATTTGGGGCTCAGTTGCCGATTCTAATTCCAAAGACTGCAAATTCAGACTCTCGTTAGAATTTATAGGGGATAAGGATTGCAATTGGGCATCCTTAAAACACTTGAAAGATCAACCATTCAACAACATATTAGCTTGAATCATTACGCATAACCACATAGGGAAGGTCAGGGCAGAGCATTACGTTGAATCCTTGATGGTGAGGTAGGGAGGGAGAGCAAAGAATGGTCGAAGTCTCAGGGAGGGTAGTCACGGTCGAGCGTGAGTGAGAGGGTGAGGAGAAGGCGTTTTGTCAGCAAATCAGAGAATGAAGAGGATTGATCAGATTGAATTTAAAAGGACTTAAAAAGCCTTTCTCACAGAAATTAAAAATAAAATAAATTTTTTTATTAAATATAAAAACGATTAGCATATAATATAGATTATTTAGAATAGGGGCATTTTAGTAATGACATTAGTTTTCATTCCGATGCATGACAATTAGTAAACAACTTATATGGACTCAATATCAATTCTACGCCGTTTCCAGACAGTTTTAATAAACAATTTCAATAGGAATCTGATTCTGATTCCACCTCATTTCAATTCTTCTTCAATCCAATTCCTCCTCAATTCAATTCCTCTCAATTTGATTACAGATTAGTAAACGCGCCCCTAGGGTTGCCTAGCATTATATTGACTACTAGCAGTGCAGCAAACATGATGACTTACCAAGCAATTCCTATAAGATGGTTACTTTCCAATTCAAGGTAACAATCAGACATCTCAAAGTTTTCGAATTCTGTCTAGACATATGAATTATGAGATGTAAATTCATCAAATTGATCAATTAATTGATTGATTTTAACCTTTTTATGGGAAATAAGACTCGATGACTATGGTTTTTACAACTTTTGCAAATGTTTGCACTAACCTTAAAATCTCTGATGCTTGACCATTCTGTGTGCAGATTTTATAATGCTGGAACTGGCACCAAGACTCCAACCACTAAGATGTGAGAGGTTTGGACGGATTACTGCAACTACTAGTGAAAACACACGATTCAAGGTCATCTTCAGCCGTCTTTTGGAACACCAGGACAGCCTTGAACAATCATCGTTGTCACGACTTAAGAAAGAATACCAAATTCTGTTATTTCCTACCGGTCTTCTGCACAAAACTGTTCCATCCCAGTCTACAAGCTTGTTGAAAGAGGACCAGAGTTGTATGTCATGGCTCAATAAACAAGCACACAACTCTGTCATCTATGTAAGCCTAGGAAACACAACATTCATAGACAGTAAAAACTAGCTGAAATGGCACGAGGTTTGGCCAACAATAAGCAGCCTTTCTTGTGGGTCGTTCGGATGACGAACAATTATTTGGAGCACTCACTTATCCTCAAGCGAGACGACCACGTCCTTTTTGGAGAATGCCGGCACACCTTCATAAGGATGTGGGCGTTTCGGGTCTCTCGTTGCCTTGAGCAAAGTAACGAACGTAAAATGCACACTTTTTCTCCTTCATTTTTAGTGTCTTAATACTATTCAACTCCAAGCATATTACTTGTCCCATGATAACCTTGCCCCCTAGCTTTGACAAGCTTAATCCATGGGTAGAAAAGAAATCATCAATAGCTGCCTTAAGTGAGTCAGCAGTATTACTAACGGCTTGTACAATGCATAAAAAAGGCTTGATCATATGACCTTTATCCACAAAACGTATTACAATAGCCAATTGCTTCATTGAAGACATGTTATGAAGCTCATCGATAAGAATGGAAAAGTGCAAACCACCAATATCATTAAAGACATGCTTTCCATTGAAAAAGCAGTTATGACCTCCTTCTGAGTATCAGGTGAAGTCAAATTCAGACTTAAGGGAGGATTTCTCAATGTGATAACTTTTAACTCCTCGTGGCGACCACATTGGAAATTCCAGAGTCCAAGAAAAACTCCTTCGTTGTTTGAACCTTCATGTTCATCGCCTCCACAAAATATAAGCCCTTGATGCAAAAGAAACCTCATACAAACAATTGATACATCCAAAAAAGTTTTACATTCCTTTGGTGCTTGGTGTTGCTTTAATAAAGCATCATAAGTTCTCCAAGCCTGGTTGAGGGCGCTATTCCGTCCTCCAACATGACCCTGCAACCTTTCCTTCTTCCAATTCGAAAACCCTTTACTAACAAAGCAATCACCGCTAGCTTGCTCTCCCATATTTAGCTTAAACAGATAACAACATAAACAATACGAAGCATCTTTTGCTATACTATCTTCCAACCAAGTCGGAAACTCATAAACCAAGCAGATATAAACCTTATTGGTCCCTCACTGGTATTCTTGTGGGGGAACTCATGGTCTCGAGTCTGAAAATGACCCTTTTGTATATATGCTCTTTGAACTTGCTCTCGAACTCGAACATTTGGATGCTAATCCCAAATTCAAGTGCGCAACCCGGGATCAACAACAAGATCTTCCAAGTTGATTTCAACGCAAGCTTGTTTCGAGCTTTTGTCGTTCTCCTTCCAATACGATGACGACTCCATTGACTCATCAAATGATTTTCTTTTCAAATACTGCATCTCTACTTCAAAATTTTGGGTCTTTTAGCAAATATATCATACGAACAAAAAATTCTTCAAAATCCAAATAATTATTCCAGTATCATCCAACACGTAGAAATACTACAAAAATCTTCCTATACCATTGCAAGGGTACACAAAAAATTCATTAAATTAGATTTACAGAGGAAAAAGTAAAATAAAAAATTAAAAACCGGGGCTTTTTACATCTAGTGAGATCCAGAGAGCCAAAGTGAAGAGAAATTGCTTCAGATATCACTGGGTGTGCATATGAGTGAGAAAGGGCAACATTTTAGAGTGGCTAACCATTTTCGAGTTGGCCACTTTCAAGCCATTTTTCGGCCAAACCACGGCGAGTTAGTCATCGAAAAAGGTACCATTCTCTTCATCTCGTCGAAAAGTATGATTTTCGTTTTTGAATCACTCGATTCGTTGAGTATTGAAGAAGTTATGAACATTTAAAGTTTACCCAGTTTCCGGCTAGTTTTCCAGTTTTCCTGCGTACCAGCCTTCTTTCAAGCTATTTTCTGGCCATCTCCGGCAACTATTGGGCCTCCAAATAAGTATAATCTAGTTCTACACTTTCCTATCTTCATTTTGATATATTATGGGTGGAATTTGGTTAAGAATCGATTGAGTTACGAAGCTTTGAAAATTGCCCAAAGAGTTTTAAACAAAAGGACCAAAATCATGGATGGTGGACAATCTTAGGGATCATTTCTATTGATTATGCAAATCTTTGATTATGCAAATCTTAGGAACCATTTTGACTATTTAGCCTAATATCAATATTATTTGTAGTTTGATATAATATTTAGACAATCAAAATTTGTCGTTCAGTCAAATAGAGCAAAAGATGCTGACAAAGGCTCATTTCTTACTTAGGGTGAAAAGGTAGAGTAAAATATTGTTAGGTGAAAGAGAGAATAAAAGAGTGGGGGAGGAACTATTTTGCGATTCAAACGTGTAATCCTAGCTTAGGAATGACACTAATCTTCTTTGTACCGTTCTAATTTTATGAGATGTCCATGAAGGAGATTTCATGGCGGGTTGCTCACAGCGAATTTAAGAGAACATTGATGCTTGAACAATGAAGATCTTGGTTGTCAAATTGGGCTCTGATTTGCTATGGAGTTCAGGGTTTATTTATTTATTTATTTTTTTGTGGGAGTTCCAATTTCAATTTGAGCTTTTGGAGGGATACAAAAAAGAGGTGATTGATTAATTACGATCTCTAACGAAATCCAACACAAAGCAACATAATATCGTGACCAATGCTCACATTTTTGGTAGTGGTAATTCAATCCAAAACTACCATAATTTTAAGATACAATTCAATTGTAGTATGGAAAAATTCCAATTGTGGTATTTTAGATGTTGGAATCGGAACATTCAGTTCACTAAAATGACATTGTTATATAAGAAAAAGACAAGAATTGAACTTTCCAAGTTCTTCTTTGTGATGGTGGCTCCACAAGTCATGCCGATATCGAGCTCTACAAATCATGGATGCCATATTGCTAAATCCATCAGAAAAATTCTCAACGAAAACTCTCATATGACCTATCATCTTAATATTTTCTCGTAATACGCATCAATACAAACTTGTGAGCGCAACCATTAGAATTAAAATAAAGATTCCACGGAATTACAAAGTTTAAAGATAGTAAGATAATTTTGTATTACCATGGTTGATTGATTACCTTATGCTGTCCGTTTACCTTTATTTTTCATTTCTATTATAAATTTCTTTATTTCTTGTCCTTTTCTTTCCTTTTTGTCTCGCCTCCCTCCCTCCCGCATCCTCTCTCCCTCTTCTCTTAGCGAGCCGACGACTGCCGACGCAACATCTCCGTCGTTCACCGGTCACCAACGCCTGTGAAACTACACATCCAGAATGCTCTTGCCGTCCTTTATCCAATCCCCAAGTTAGTTTCTATAAATTCGTAGGCGATTTTCCTCAATTTCTAATTTAAGAAACGGTGACCCAGGGTTTTCCGTCCAACTTCCGGCCAATATCGCCGGAATTGGACCTCGACCCAAGAGGTAGAAATGATCCTCTTCTCGTGGGCTGTTCTCCAATGTAAGTTCTTTTTCCAAATTTTCAACTTTCAGTTTTGGGATTGATTCTTGATTTCGAATTTTATTCGATTTTCTGTATGAATGACGGAGATGAGACTTCTGGTGATTGTTGTATCTGTGAAGTTGTTGAAATCCCTAACGATTACGTTCCCGGTTGATAGTTGAAGCATGTCTATAGCATGATGTGGGATTGAACTCTGTAGAACCTTGTATTATTGTTAATAGGCAATGAATGAACTCTTTTGCATAGGAATTATAAAATTCATGGAAAGAATGTGAAAATGTGGTAGGAAATTAGAAAATGGGGAACAAAATCATGTTATGATAAAGGCAATAGCTTAGCCTGACTCCTTGTTTATTGTAGTTGTATTCAGCAGCTTACTTTGGTTTTGAATTGCCTGCTGTCCAGTAGATGTTTAAGACTTAATGTGGAGGAAATTCTCTCTTGAAGTTGCTTGAACTTACCTATTTGGTAGACAGGGCTACTCAAGGGAGAGCTAACCTGAGGTGTGAGTGGACATTTATTTAAGAAATGTTTTTTCTTTATCAAATATTAAGCAGATTTTATGAATTAATATCAGACCTTATAGTGAATGATCATATTATTTAGCTTACATGTGTATGATCAATATTACATGTGTCATTCTACAAACATGTCATTCATCTTATACGTGTATGATATTACAGAACTTTTAGCATTATAAATTGAAATGCAAATATTGGTAGCTAGAGACAACTTTTCCAAATTATCATAACAAATAAGCAAACACCAATTTAGAAACAAACAGTAATAATCACAGTCGAAATTTATAATACATAAAATCAGCAACATAAATAGTATTTTTGGAATGAAATTCTGGTGCAACAAATGACCTTTTATTGGCTTGTACATATGATATGGTAAATGAATTGTTGAAGCCACAACGTTGTGTAAACTCTTGTCCTGCATGCATTGGAGAATATTAGAAATCACTGAAATTGGAATAAGTTGAAATGGTAATGCTTATTGTATATGTGTTTCAGAAAATAGCGGTTTAAGAACTAAATTAATTTTCAAGTCACTTAGCACTACGGTTATGTTTATTGTATATGTGTTTCTCAAAACGGTTATGCTTGTTGTAGATCAGGTGAGACATGCTAACAGAAAAAGGTATTTCCAATATTATTGTGGAATCTGATAAAGGTTTCTTGAGGCAGTTGCTAGTCTGAAAAGCTTCTTCCATCTTAACTGTTACTGGCTGTAAGACTTTTATTGGGCTTACATCTATTTAGGAGTCCTAATTGATTAAGGATAAAAGAAAGGAATTAATATTTGATTATTCCGGATTAATTATGGTGAAGTATATCAATAATTTTTGCGAATATCAATCCTATTACGTCATGGATTTTAGAGGTGCTAAAGATCTGTATTAGGGTTTTCTTTATGGGCAAGAAGCCTAATACTCTCACCTATAAATATAAGGCTTAGGTCCCACTTTTATACACATTATTCTAGCACAAAACACTACCCCATATAGGAGTGCATAAGGCGTGTAGAGAGAGATGAAGATCTTTGCTTGTTTGTTGCTGATCATGGTTCAATCTTGTTCATGTCAATGGCTTCTTAAGGTTAGTACTTTTAGAGTGCATATTATAGATCGACTTGCATTGGGTACCTCGAAAAAAATGAATTAGGTAGCAGAATGTGGTTCGACGACCCCTATTGTTCAATTTTTTAAGTACCATCCATGTATGTATATATTCTATAAAACATGGTAGAATAATTTTTTGAGTACTTTATAGATAATTTCATCAGTTTTTACTAAACCTAGAAGAAGTTGGAGATAGAAACATGCTAACCTTTATGCTTGATCGATCAATTGTGTTGGTCATCTTCATTCGTCATCTTCATTTTCATCCTCACTGTACAATTCATCATCGTTATCCTTCGTGTTTTAGAAATAAAAGACAGATGTTTTCTTGAGATAGAATTGAGTTTTAAAAAATAAAATTACTTAAATACAATTTAGTATTTGACTAAATTTTGAGAACACTTTTGTCAAACTAAATATGAACTGTTGATTATGCTTTCCCTAAATTTGTAGTAAGAATTTTGGTGGTGTTTGCCATATTATGCTTGTAGCTCGAAACCTAGCTATTTTTCAGAACATTAAGGATCGAAAGAGTTGGAACAAACAGCTTCAAGCATTACTGTAGTCTCGGTTGTTTAGGAGAAAATACGTAATTGTTTAGGAGAAAATCTTTGTTGGTTCAGTGGTTGTATATTGATGATGCGGTCTTCCAGGTGGACACAAAAGTGATTGCAAATTAAAAACATTAATCTAAAGCATACCTTGTCCATTCCTGTCGAAATGCGGGTTTTACTTGCAATCGGGGATTATGCGTGTCATCAAGCTTAGAATCAAATGGCCTTAAGTCTTGCACATTAATAACCTTCAATAACTCCAAAGACGGCAACTTCAAAGTATAAGCTTCACCACAAAAATACTTGAGTTTTGGCAGATTTCCAAGCTCGATGGACTTCACTTTAGGTAATGTAATTATTTCCCCTGCTTCTTCTTCTTCTGCCGCAACGATTTCTTCCATCTGCTCGCACCAATCAACTTTTATGTCCTCTATACTCACGAGAAGTTTGACTATGGACGAAGAAAACAAGTATTTCAACTGGTTGCAACTATAGACCCACAGCGATTTCAAGTTTCCGAAACTGCTTCCTGTGAACATTGGTTGTGAACTACCTGTCTCCCAAACACGCAGTAAACTTGGTAACGTATGTAACCACAAGGACCTCAATTTTTTGAATGCTTCAACGGAGTGACTACTTTCTTCATGCTTTGGTCCCTTGAGTTGGAAAATCACTTCTATTGAATTACAGTCAATTACAAAAAGATTTTCGAGATTATCATCATCATTTTGAGTCCTCCAGATTAGTTGGTGTAACCTAGAAAATTGGTTACAATTTTGGTTGTCAAATTGGGCTCTTATTTGCTAGGGAGTTTAGGTTTCAATTTGAGCTTTTGAAGGGAGACACAGGATGGGTGATTGATTAATTACGATCTCTAACGAAATCCAACACAAAGCAGCATGATGGCGTAATCAATGCTCCAAAACTTGATAATTTTAAGATACAATCCAATTGTAGTATGAAAAAAATTCACATTGTGGTATTTTGGATGTTGGAATCGGAACATTCGGTTCACTAAAACGACATTTATAAAAGAAAAAGACAAGGATTGAGCTTTCTAGGTTCTTTTTCTTTGCGATGGTGGCTCTACAAGTCTGGCCGATACCGAGCTCTACAATGGTGGGCTCTGCAAATCATGGTTGCCATGAGCTCTACAATGGTGGGCTCTGCAAATCATGGTTGCCATGAGCTCTACAATGGTGGGCTCTGCAAATCATGGTTGCCATGAGCTCTACAATGGTGGGCTCTGCAAATCATGGTTGCCATATTGCAAAATCCATCAAAAACATTCTCAGGGAAAACGTTCATATGACCTATCATCTTAATATTTTCTTGTAGTGCTCATTAATATGAACGCGTGAGCATAAGCAAAACGAATTTCAGAACTAAAATAAAGATTCCACGGCATTACAAAGTTTAAGGATAGTATAATAAATTTGTATTACCATGATTGATTACCTTATGCTGTTAGTTTACCTTTATTTTTCATTTCTATTTCAAATCATTTTATTTCTTTTCCTTTTCATTTTGTTTCTTTTTATTTAGATGTGTATTAAAAGTGAAAAAAAATTAATGATATTCTTCTTTATTCGTAACTTATACGTGGAAAATCTTATATTCGATTATCATTACATGTGAATTTGAATTATATTACATCTAGCCATTATTATTATTATCAAAACATGTTCTATCTCATCTCACATACCAAACGTACTTTTGATGGTAGATAATATCATTTATTCCAACAACTTAAAAAAAAAAAAAAAAAAGGAAAAGAATTAAGATGTAAAAAATGGGAGAAACCATTTTCTTTCCTCCTCCCTCCTCTTTTGGGCTGCAACAGGAGCCCCATTAAACAGCAAGCCGACGACTGCCGATTGCCGACGCAACAGCTCTGTCGTCTACGGGTCACCAAAGGCTCTCAAACTACACATCCAGAATGCTCTTGCCGTCCTTTATCCAATCCCCAAGTTAGTTTCTATAAATTCGTAGGCGATTTTCCTCAACTTCAAATTTAAGAAATGGTGACCCAGGGTTTTCCGGCCAACTTCCGGCCAATATCGCCGGAATTTGACCTCGACCCAAGAGGTAGAAATGATCCTCTTCTCGTGGGCTGTTCTCCAATGTAAGTTCTTTTTCCAAATTTTCAACTTTCAGTTTTGGGATTGATTCTTGATTTCGAATTTTATTCGATTTTGTGTGTGAATGTCGGAGATGAGACTTATGGTAATTGTTGTATCTGTGAAGTTGTTGAAATCCCTAACGATTACGTTCCCGGTTGATAGTTGAAGCATGTCTATAGCATGATGTAGGATTGAACTCTTTTGCGTAGGAATTATAAAATTCATGGAAAGAATGTGAAAATGTGGCACGAAATTAGAAAATGGGGGCCAAAATCATGTTATGATGAAGGCAATAGCTTAGCCTGATTCCTTGTTTATTGTAGTTGTATTCAGCAGCGTACTTTGGTTTTGAATTGCCTGCCGTCCAGTAGATGTTTAAGACTTAATGTGGAGGAAATTCTCTCTTGAAGTTGCTTGAACTTACCTATTTGGTAGACAAGGCTACTCAAGGGAGAGCTAGCCTGAGGTGTGAGTCGACATTTAAGAAATGTCTAGATAAATATGATTTCCCTTACGTTTAGATAAATATGATTTCCCTTACGTTTAGGAGAAAACCAGATTTTATGAATTAATAGCGGACCTTGTAGTGTATGTTCATATTATTCATCTTTCGTTAGTTACGGCTAGCTAGTGTATCATAATATTGTTCAACTTATATGTAATGTAAGTGATCAACATTACAGTATATTCAGCTTTCCATTCTACAGACATGTCATTTCAACTTACACATGTATGGTATCACGGAATTTTTAGCATTATGAATTGAAATGCAAATATTGGTAGCTAGAGACAACATTTCCAAATTATCATTATAAATGGCAATACAAGAACTCGAGCACAAATAAGCAAAACACAAATGATGCGAATTTAGAAACAAACAGTAATAATCGCAATCGAAATTTATGGTACATAAAATAAGCAACATAAATAGTATTTTTGGAATGAAATTCTGGTGCAACAAATGTCCTTTTATTGGTTTGTACATATGATATAGTAAACGAATTGCTGTAGCCACAACGTTCTTTAAACTCTTTTCCTGCATGCATTGGAGAATATTAGAAATCACTGAAATTGGAATAAGTTGAAACGCTTATGCTTATTGTATATGTGTTTCCAAAAATAGCAGGTTAAGGACTCAATTAATTTTTAAGCCACTTAGCACTACGGTTATGTTTATTGTATATGTGTTTCTGATAAAGGTTTCTCTTGAGGCAGTTGGTAATCTGAAATGCTTCTTCCTCACACCTGAACTGCTATTAGCTACCTCGGAAAAATGAATCAGGTAGCAGATTGTGGTTTTAGATCCAAACTGTTCAATTTTTCAAGTGCTATACATGTATGTATATATTATATAAAACATGGTAGAATATTTTTTGAGTGCTATATAGATAAGTTGGAGATGGAAACATGCTAACCTTTGTGCTCGATCAATCAATTGTGTTCGTCCTTCCTGTTGGTTTCGTCATCTTCATCCTTGCCTTCGATTTCGTCATCGTCATCCTCACTGTCGATTTCGTCATCTTCATCCTCATTGTCGATTTCATCATCTTCATCCTCACTGTCGATTTCGTCATCTTCATCCTCACTGTCGATTTCGTCATCTTCATACTTACTGTATTAGAAATAAAAGACGATGTTTTCTTGAGATACAATTGACTTTTCTAAAATATATATATATATTTAAATACACTTTAGTGTGCACATACTCGCATACACACACACACACACATATACATTAATATATGTATGCTATTATATAGTCTTCTGTAAAAACTTTAGAAATTCCACGTATACATCAAGATTTAAAAGTGAGATGTTAAAAAAAAAAAAATCATCTTTAAATACGCACACATAAGTGATTGAAAATTACAAACTTTAAAGTAAAGCATATCAGTGGTTGTATATTGATGATGCGGTCTTCCAGGTGGACACAAAAGTGATTGCAAATTAGAAACATTAATCTAAAGCATACCTTGTGTCATAAATACCTTGTGTCCATTCCTGTCGAAATGCGGGGTTTACTTGCAATCGGGGATTAGGCGTGTCAACAAGCTTAGAATCAAATGGCCTTAAGTCTTGCACATCAATAACCTTCAATAACTCCAAAGACGGCAACTTCAAAGTATAAGCTTCACCACAAAAATTCTTGAGTTTTGGCAGCCTTACAAGCCCGATGTACTTCACTTTAGGTAATGTAATTATTTCCCCTGCTTCTTCTTCTGTCGCAACGATTTCTTCCATCTGCTCACAGTTATAAACTACTATGTCCTCTACACTCGCAAGAAGTTTGACTATGGACGAAGAAAACAAGTATTTCAACCGTTTGCAACATTGGACAACCAGCAATTTCAAGTTTCCGAAGCTGCTTCCTGTCAACATCGGTTGTGAACTACCCGTCTCCCAAACACGCGTTAAACTCGGCAATGTATCTAACCACAAGGTCCTCAATTTATTGAATGCTTCAAGGGAGTGACTACTTTCTTCATGCTTTGGTCCCTTGGCATGGAAAATCAATTCCATTGAATTACAGCCAAATACAATGAGATTTTCGAGATTATCATCATCATTTGAGTCCTCAAGATTAGTTGGTGCAACCTAGAAAATTAAACACGATCAACAAGATGATATAAAAGTTGTACTTATAGAGGTTAATTGAACCTAATTTAAAAGCTTACCTCCAAATTGATTGGACGTGGCAATATTTCAATGGAGCTGTGGGCGTTTGGTCTTGAATATGGTGTGCATCCACATCCATCAGGGCACCAATTTGATGAACGTGTTGGAGAAGTGCTGAAATCATGACTTGTTGAATCCTTCTCAGACTTATTCTCCAACTTCTTTCTTTGTGGAATTACAGCACCCAATGTCTTCAATTTTTCACATCCGAACACGTGCATATCTTTTGTGGATGACCATTGAAATGTAGATCCCTCTGGACAAAGACTTGTGAGACGAGGCAGGTCTTCTAGTTTAAATCTGTTCAGTTTCGGAAACAAAATCATGTCTTTTGTCGCCTCTTCTTCATTTTCGTCTGGGATTCTGACTATAGTTTCAATGTCCCGACATCCTGATATCCTTACCTCTTCAAGATTCAAAAGTTCCGAGGCAATTAAATGCGAGAACACATATTCTAGACCAGAACAACGTATCAATTCCAAATATCTCAAATTTTGGAAGCCCTGGAATCCAGACGGAATGTTTTTCCACAAGTGTGTAAACGAACATTCGGATATCTCCAACTTACGTAACTGGGGAAATGTTGGAGATGTCTGCCCATCCATAACTATATGGATTTTCAGATCAAATAGCACGCCTTCAAACTCCATATATTTCAATACTACCTCTTCTAAACTTGGAAACCATGAAATGCACTTTGATGGAAATATTGCTTTTTCAAATATTCCTGCAGATTGATGCTCAACCCTTGCCGTTGTTTCCTGAAAAAGAAAAATCATTATCGGTTAAACAATTTCAAATTTCCACATATCGGCTGCCTCCTCATATCATAGAGATTGGAGAGTGGGACATACCTCTTGGTTGGAGTATATCTTGTTGGCTTGGAAGAAACCAACCAAACTCTGTAGATAGCAGAGATCTAATTTGGTTAATTTATTGAAAGATATTATATCGGCTTCCTTCTCATGTTCCCTTCCCTGCTTTGACACAATTTCTTCCATTTGATTACATTTATCAATATATAATCCCTCGAGTTGTCCCAAGTTTTTTGCTGCTGATAGTGAAAAGGCATATTTTAAGACACCACAATTTGACAATTTAAGGAATCTTAGGTTGGTCAAAAAGCTATGCGAAAGCTGACTAACTGACTGTATGCGAGGAAATGGTGTCTGCTGGGTCACACTTGTTCCATTTGCAAGATACTCAGTATTTGAACACTCCACAAGGATCAAAGATTTCAAATCTTGAAATCCCTCTGGGTCTAAATCAGTGAGGACAGAGAAATTCTTAACTTTGCACAAACACATTTCTTCAGATTTTTTCAACAAGAGCCTAACTGCTTGACTCTCCAACTCCCTTGCATCACCTTCAAAAATAATTAGTGAGTTTGTGAATGCATAAGTTCTCATCTCCGAAAACATCTTCGCAAGCAACTTCGAAGACATGTCGGTACATCCAATAGCGAATTTTATTGTTGGGCTTTTCAAGACTACGTCTTTTGGCAACAAGTGGATGAAATTGGGGGGTAATTCTATGGATAGAACCTTCAAATGATGAGACAGAGACATCACCTCAGAAATGCTTGCCATCCTCTTATCTTCTCTTCCTGTTCCAAGGTCCCATTTATCAAAGCTACCCATCATATACAACTCTTCAAGTCTACATAAGCTGGAGAAGATACCATGTGGAATCACCTCAAGTTTCCAACATTTTGTCGTATCTAACAACCTTAACTGTTTAAGTCGTCCAATTTCCCTCGGCAACTCACGCATGGAAGCACAATCACGAAAGCTGAGGATTTCTAAATTCTCCAAACCCCCAATAACATCAGTAGACATGCCATCAAAGTCAGACCCATCTAGGATCAAGGTCCGCAGGTTCTTCAGTACTCCTGGTGATCTTGATGAGCCTAGGTCTTCCATTTTCATTCCCACCAAAGCTAAAACCTTCAGTTCTTTCATCTCCATACAAATGATGTCCATGCTACCCTTTGAAAAACGTCCATTCATCGTCTGTAGAAGCTCAAGTTTTGGGCAATCAACTGGAATCTCTAGATAGCCAACCAGTGAGATTGTGTCACATGTAGCATGACTTCTTACTAGAAATCGATGTGGATCTCTTGAAGCAATCGATATGGCAACATCGCGAACTATGTCATGCATTTTTGTAGTCTCCCTGTTGCTACTATCTATCAACAAAAACCTTCTTTGTAGTTGGGCAACCAACGAATGCACTCTATTTCTTGTATCTTCCAAAGTAGAGCAGTTGCTAAAATATCCTCGACCCCACCCATATCGAACCAAATACTCAATTGGAATATCATAATCTTCTGGAAATAAACTACAAAGTAAAAGACATAACCTGGCTTCATCACTCTCCAATCTATCATAACTCCATTTTATGCTAGAATAAACTTTGTCGTTCACTCCAGGGATGTTCACTGGGGTAGAATTTCGCAGCTGATTAAGGGCATCATCCCATTCACGCCTGCTTTTCTTTGCTAGGGCTTTTCCAACCGTTACAATTGCAATAGGTAAACCTCCACATTCATTCACAACCTCTTTTGCAATGGAACGTAAATCAGGATCATCGAAGGATTCGCCTACCATTTCTCTAAAGAGCCCCCATGATTCTTCTGTTGTTAAAGTCGGGACTGCAATAATTGGTTGACTTCCCATCCTGTTGCAAACATCCGAATCTCGTGATGTCAACAAAATTTTGCACCCTTCATGAGTATCTCTGTAAGGAAGTCCTATAGCCGCAAAATCAGGCTCTTCCCAGACATCATCT